TCTTGAATAGATTTACTCTTTAGTATTTCAAGATATTTCTGTGTAATTTTGGTAAATACATCTGTGAAAATGACATGTCAACTTTACTTTCATGTTTGCGTCATTTAGACGACAATTTATCCATCGCACCCATTATACGTATTCACTTTTCATATGCATAAAAATAAAGAGTCGCGTCGTTTCGTTTTCTTATCACATATACGCTAAAAACCATATTCAGTATTTTTGTTTTTGCTTTATAAAGTCTCCATTTCAGCATCCCGATTCTAGTGCCTCGTAGATGGACCCTCCAGCTATCGCTCCGTCTACTCTTCAGGGGATATCAGCAATCTCATCACTTAAACTTTATTTTTTAGTGGATACCCACATTTGTGTAGAATTTCCGTTTATCGATTAAACATTATATTTTTAATTGAGGGTGTATGTGTGATGAAATAAGCAACGGATATGTATTCTTGGCACTAAGACGCAAGGGGTCACACTGAATGTGAAAGCATATGGAAAAAGAAACTTTCTTATGAAGAAAAAATAGTAAAATAATAGGAATTAGGAAGAAAAAAAGATAAAAATTGAAAATTCGTTTACATTTTTGAAGATCAAAATTTAATAGAAAGCAATAAGCCGGAAAAGACTTCCACAAGCAAGAAGTGCGATAGAAGAAACTGTTAGCATAGAACTTACGGTTACATCTAGCAGTTTCAACTGTAAAAAGATGAGACCTAGCTGACAATCTAGTATTGCGCTTAAATTCTTAATGTTGAGGTACCAAAGAGCACAGCTCATTAGAAAAATTAGGTTTATGAAATTAACAGGTTTTGTTTTATTATACGAACATCAGAATTTGGAGGCTTTTATATGGGAATAAAGTGTCGTTGCCGACACTTGTATTTCAACATAGATCGCCAGTGAGCAAAAACAGGCGATTACATTATTGAATTAAGTGAACCATGTGACCATAGAAGAAAAGCACAAATAGAAATTAGCGTGAAGTCTAAGTGATCGTCATTTCTAGACTATCCTCTATTACTATACGGATCGCTCTTCTTTATTTCTCTATACTATCTCTCTATACTGATCGCTACACGGATTACTATTCGGTGGTGATTATTCAAGCGAGTATTACCAAGCAAGTACTATTAGTGCGAAACTTATTCGAAGGCGTCTGACACCAGTATTGTTCAACGGCGTTACTATAGTTTTATCTGCGATTACAAAGTCTCTACTACAACGAGCGTTACAAAAGTGGTAATGAGTGTTCGCTGACATCTCAAAGGGGGTGGAATTTTAGAAAATCCTTACAACGAAATTTTCACAGAAAATTATACGGCTTAAAAAAAAGCGACAAGTTCGATTAGTTTAGCCATTTTAGAAATGTTTTCTTCTATCGACATGTTATAATATAATTCATGATATCTGTTAAATTTTCATAATATTCTATGAAAGAGTATTAACATTAATTCCCTATGCTCCTGTGAGTGTGATATCAATTATTTATGAGACTTCAATTTGAAAAAGGGTCATCATTTGAATAACTAAGCAGTTTAATTACAAAAAACCATCAACAAAACAATCACTTATTTATGAAGATGACAAGAAATGAAACTGGAAATTTATTAGCAAAACAATTATTTTTAATTTTATTTTTGAAACCTGAATACAAAAAAATACCACTCACCACTAAGCAAGTACTTAGTAGATAGTCGTTGGTAGATTTTTTTAATGCTGCTCATATTGTAGTATCATGACGATTGACAATTGTCTCTATTACTATCCGGATCACCATTTCTATTCTATTCCCTATTACTATATGGACCGCTATTCTCTACTCTATTCACTATACTATTTCTCTATTCGGATCACTATACGGATTACTATTCGAGCGAGTATTATCGAGCGAGTACTATTAGTGCGAGACTTATTCGAAGGCGTCTGACACCAGTATTGTTTCAATGGCTTACTATAGTTGTATCTGTGATTACAAAGTCTCTACTACAACGAGCATTATTATACTATTTCTCTATTCAGATAACTCGTCCTGGGTATGACGATAAACTACATCCGCGTCCTGGGTAAGACGATAAACTACGTCCAACAGTAAGGCTTCTGATCAGGAGGTTTTGAGGAGCGTGAAATCACCTCTTAATTGCTGGTGTTCCCAGGTCGACCTTGGCCCCGGGGTGGTAGCACCTGCTAGGGTCCCAGCTATGGGAAAAATAGTTAACACTCATATTACATTCGCATCATGGGTATGACGATAAACTACGAACTGCTATTTTCTACTCTATTTACTATACTATTTCTCTATTTAAATCACTCTACGGTGGCAAAAAATTCGAGCGAGTATTATCGAGCGAGTACTATTAGTGCAAGTGATATTCGAAGGTATACTATAGTTGTATCTGCGATTACAAAGTCTCTACTACAACGAGCGTTACGAAAGTGGCAACGCGTGTTCGTTGACATCACAAAAGGGGGAATTTTTATAAAATCTTTACCAAGAAATTTTTACAAAAAATTCTAATATGGCTTTAAAAAAAAGCGGCAAGTTCGATTAGTTTAGACATTTTGGGAAATATTTTCTTCTATCGACATGTTATAATATTATAATTCACAATATCTGTTAAATTTTCATATTATTCTATGAACGATTATTGACATTAATTCACTAATTTGTGATGTCAATGACTTATGAGACTTCGAGTGAAAAAGGAGCCATCCTTTGAATAACTAAGCAGTTTAATTACAAAAGCCATCAACAAAACAATCACCTATTAATAAAGATGACAAAAAATCAAACTGGAAATTTAAAAGCAAAACAATTATTTCTAATTTTATTTTTTTAAATCTGAATACAAAAAATAGTAGTCACCTCTAAGCAAGTATTTATAAGTTGATGCAAGATATGTCGTTGGTAGATATTTTATACTGCTGCTCTCTCAATATATGGTCCAAGGGCCCTTCAGGGGAGTGGGTTACTGAATAACGTTGTTATAAGTTCGTAAAAGGAGGAAGTAAGGAGTGCATATTATGAGGATATACAGGATAAATAATTATTGACCCTAGACTTGAATAGATTAAGGTTGTAGTGATCTGGGAAGAATCTTTTCGGGAGCCTTTTCGGCACTTGGGAACTTCCTACTTACTAATGGAATACAAAATAAATGGAAATGATTTCTCCCAGTATGCGTGGTATGGTGGGCTTTATCTGAAAATGTTTGAACTGAGTGAACTCGTCTGGACATTTGTCAAGGAACCAGTGATAGAATAACGGAAGCCTTGCGACGTTTAGTACGTGGGAAAGGGTTTAATTCAGTGCCAACAAGACCAAGTTACTATCTAAATTCGATTTTCGCTGGATGCTTCACAATTATGGCTTTATACTTGTCTAAATAGTATTTAGCCAGCCATACAAAAAGCTAATGGTTCGTTTATGGCAGTTACAGCAGTCTAGTGAGTTCTTTCTGACTGGGTGTTCCAAATATTTGAACTTGTATGAATGCATAGAACATGGGGTAATAAAACAAGTACATCCCATCTCCCCTCTGGCTTATCACCATCTGGTGAAAGTTCGTTGTAACTAATGGCTGAGTTCAACATAGGAAAGTCAACATTGTATGATATAAAATCTTCCAAAGAAACTATTCTCCGGCGTTCACACTATCACAATGAACAAAGAAATAAAAACATGATTGCGATGAAACCTGGACTGAAATTGAAAAATCCATTGAAAAGTTTGTCAGTTTTATGGAAAGAAAGCCAGCATTCAGAGTTAAAGAAAATGTCTTTCGTTTAAAAAAATTCATGAACAAAAGCAAAAACAAAATGCGGAAAAAGTTGAGAATAACTTCAGAAGAGAAAGAATCATTATGCAACAGTGAGTAAAACATCTAATTGCATTATTGTTTTTGCATACGTGGCATAATTAATTTAATGAATACACGACCATGTATCTTTCGATACATGACTGACGAGACAGATTTTTCCTGCAGTAAGGTGCCATTTCTTTCTGCGGTCCTCAGAAACACATGGCACATTGGATAAAGGCGTTGGGTAGATCCAGTGGCAGGACCCAAAAAGTGTGAGTTCAATACCTGGTTAAGGCAGTGCAGAACTTTCAGAGGGGAATTAATAAAAGATAACTGATAACTGACATCCATTAAACATGGCACGTGGAACCAGAACAGTCTACACCAGTGAGCGAAATAAAGAGTTCAGTTCGACTGATTCCAATCACCTGAAGAAGGCCGGAACGTACAACGGCGGAAACGTTGTAATAAATATGGCGACAAAGATGAGGACAATAGTCCGAATAATGTAAATAATGTACATAATACTTCATCTCAGAAATATAGACAGATGCTGAAGGTTCATTTTTTGCATATAACTAAAATTTTTAAAAGTACAAAACTTCCCTTTAAAAAAAAATCCTCGTATTTTTTTTTTTTTTGCCAGTTTGGTGTGCTTAAAATACTCGATCAGCGAAGGCAAGCAACGTTGCACCCGATCTTTGTGAATACATAGCACTGTACGCAACCACTTATATTCTGAAATATGCTTCAGCTTCAAATAACCCGTAAAGGTCTGATAAGCCATGAAAAAAAACAAATATATAATATTCATACAATTTTCAGCTGTTAAAGTGTTAAAACACTTTAAATGCAAGTCCTTTTTAATGGAGGCAAAACGTAATAACTTTTACGTGCTTTTAATATTTTAAAAGATCTACTGTATTTTTAGGTTTATTATTAATTCATTAATTTTCTACAGCTTATCAACCCTTTTCCAGGTTATTTAAAGACATTTTTTTCATTGTAAGAATTCTTTATAAAGATAATAATGATTTGGTGATACAAGATTTACTAATTAATCCATAGCTGGTACGGAAAAGAGTCGGATTCATACTTTTCCCAAGGATATTTTCACGTAATTGAATATAAAAAAAGACTCGACTGGAATTGGAACTCGGCTTTCTGATTAACAATTCCGTGACGATTATCCATTACGTCACCTGGTATTCGCAAGCGGTCACCCATCTAGGCACTGATCAGTCTCTACGTTCCTTAACTTCTGTGATCGTACGGGAACTGGTCTTTAAACGTGATGTGGCCGTAAGCCTTTGCCGCACGACCCTTCTCTTCTCGTCATAGATTCGGAAGACGAAAAGGTTGTGATTTCATTCTGCCTTTATTCCAGGGTTTTAAATTCACAGCACGCGGTTCTGTCACATGAGACGCAAAACTTTTTATCTTGATCTTTCCATCTGATTTCAAAATAGGCGTGGTAACCTGGTTTTACAAATTGAGTAATTTTAGAATGTTGATCAGACATTGTTACTTTGCAGGAAATCTAACAAAACCTGTTTTGAATCGTGTTAGTATTTTTCTATTCATATAGGCGTCTTCAAATATCCCGAGTGTAACGTCTATTGACAGAAAAACGTGAATTCGGCGTGATGAGTTCATTTCGCGGTCGATCTAGTTTTGTTCTCTAATGCATTTGAAAAAGTCATTAATCCATCTTCCTCAGCTACGGATTAAATAACAGGGCAGACTGGAAGTCACAGGAAAGGAAAACTCTGAGTTCAAAAACAGTCTGAAGAGATTTATTATATATAGATTATATTATTATTATATATATATATATATATATATATATATATATATATATATATATGAAAAAAGTATATACGGAAAAAAACAAACAAAAATCCTTATATAAAATTATGCTGTTTTAATGTTAATATGTCAACATCGGACGTTTCGGTCTAATAAACCATCTTCAGGACATATTCATAAATATAACATTATCAATACAACATGACAAAGGCAATTGAGTCTAATTCGTTACCTCTTCATCACCGAGGCCCGTTGGTACAGTTGGTATGACGTATATATATATATATATATATATATATATATATATATCGAGTCTAATTCGTTACCTATTGATCACCGAGGCCCGTTGGTACAGTTGGTATGGCGTTTGACTCATATATATATATATATATATATATATATATATATATATATAAGCAAGATTTGTTAAATTCAAGCTATATGCTGTCTTTTTCAAATACCTATTCTTTTACTATTCGAATGCGACTTCGGATTTCGGTGTCACTTTTTAATCAGGTATCAAAACACTTCCCAGATATTTAAACTGTTCTACTTTTTGTATTTTGACATTTCCAATTTTTAGCTTGTATCCTGTTTGTTTTTTTAGCTGCCAATCATACATTCTGTCTTCTTACAATTAGTGATTAGTTATTCTTCACGGTTTCTTTTATTAGTTTGTTTGGTTAGTCTCAACTTAGTTCCATTTATGGTAGGTACTTGAGCACAAATACGGGGCACCTAATGGATAGACGGAACACTTGGGGGCCAAAGGTTTGAGTGTGCTGGTGTTGTTCAGATTATTGATCATCTCTCCCAGAAACTGTAACTAAGGTCTGCTTAGCATAGTTGCAGTATAAACCACAGGTTGGGTCTGTGAGTGTTAAATAAACACACGTGTACCTGAGCGAGAGTCTGCAATAAGGATTGGCTATCCGCCCTAGTAGAGGGGTATCCTCGAATACGAGTGGTCAGCTATTATATATATATATATATATATATATATATATATATATATATATATATATATATATATATATAGGATAAATACAGATATAAAATTTGTAACTTAGCTGATTGATTTTATATTCAGCAAATTTACTCCAGTGTTTTGTAGACGAATCTTTTCGTAATCATTCGGTCCACTCGTCAGGAGATATTAGCAAATTTTGTCGATTCTCTCATTTTCATTATTTTTATATTAATTAAAAAAAAAACAAATTTATTCGCTTTTTTATTGGTTTTAGGTTTTTCTTTGTGTACGTGTTTACGTGTTCGTGTGTGCATGCGTGTGTATGTACGCCTGTAAGTAGGCGTATGTGCACATATGCTGGATGTCATTGTTGAAGCAACGTGGGTGAGATTAAGGAAACCGTTTTTATTCTGTATTTTAATGGTCATATCCTGGCGTTTTTAAGGACCACGCTACCTTTCAAATTTAAATATATATATGTATTTTATTTAACGCGTGGTGTTCTTTTTGTATAAGAATAGGTCTGAGTACTTTCAATATGAAAGTCCCTGCATACGATGCAGACAATATTTAGTTTACCAACCGCGGATGAGAAGAAAATTGGAGTCAACAGTAATCTGGTTCTACAGAAGGATACTGAGGATTTCGTGGACGGAGTGAGTAAACAACGAGGAAGTCTAAAAATCAATGGCAACAAAAGAACACATGCTTTGAATCAGTAAGAGGTAGCTGAAATTCCTTGGACACATAATGAGGAAGGAGGGCTTAGAAAACATAATTCTCACAGGGCGTATTTAGAGCATGATTGTTTCAGGAAGACAGCGAGACATCTATTTTCCGAGCTTGTGCGAATGGATAGCAGACCCCGGGTGGAAACGTTAACCTTAACAAAGAGAGAAAACTGCTACGGACTACAAGGAATAAGAAGTCTTCATTTGATTGCTTTTGGGTTTTCCACGGTTGATCAACCCTTTCCAGTCTATTTAAGGCCAGAAAATATTTTTAGATTTAAAAAAAAAATGATTTAGTGATACAAGACTTACTAGTGAACACATAGCTGGAGAGAGAAGGGGTGGATTCATGTCTTTTCTCAAGGGAATTTGTCCGTAAGTAAATATATCGATCCTAACTGGAATTGGAACTCGGCTCTCCGATTAAAAATTCCAAGCCGTTACCCATTACGCCATCCGCGTATTCTAGCTTACAGGACGTGATATTCTCGAGCGGTCACCGATCTAGGTACTGACCAGGGTCGGCATGGTGGAGGAATGGATAGCGGCTCGGATTGAGGAATCTGAGAGCCGAGTTCGAATTCCAGTCGAATCCATTACATTCACTTATGTGCTAATACCCTTGGGAAAGATTTGAATCCTCTTCTTCTCTCCCAAGCTATGGATAAATAGCAGGACTGACCAAGTTCTATAGACTTGGATGGCAACTGGTCTACCACAGAAAGAAATGGCTACGTACTGTGGGAAAAAAATTGCCTCGTCATTCATGTATCGAAAGATACATGATCGCCTAAGCGTGTATCACACATGGCACATAACTGACTAACCCTTGGAAAAGGTATGAATCTTCTTCTTCTTACCGCAGCTATGGATAAATAGCAGGACAGGCCAGGTTCTATAGCTATGGATGGCAACTGGTCTACAGCAGAAAGAAATGGCAACCTACTACGGGAAAAAAACCTGCCTCGTCAGTCATGTATGGAATGATACATGGTCGCCTAAGCGTGTATTACGCATGGCACATAACTGATCGTACGGGCATCAGAGTTTTAACGTGATGTGACCGTAAGCGCATAGGAAGATTTGGAGAGCCATGACCTGAAGGCATACGACGCAAGAAAAGAAGAAATATTGATATAGATGAAGTTACTTGAGGAAAAACAAGAAAAAATTATCTTTAGACAGTTTATCCACAATTTTTAGCTTATTCAAAAATTGGTAAAAAATACAATAAAAATTTAAATTGATATATTTTCTCGGTTGAATTTAAAAGAAATTGTTTTACTGTTAAAATAAGCAATATTTTCATTTGTATAAATACTTCACTCAAAGAATATATACTTTTATAGTTGGATATATCTATGGCTATGAGGTATGTGAAATATTTTCTCACAACACATTTTTTCAAAGTAGGGAATATATTTTTACAAAAAAAAAAGACGCTTGGAACTTCTCACACATGCAATATATTAGCCGCAATTAAAAATTGTATTGATACATTTAACGTAGATATATTCTGTTTCCTAATTATAGATATATAAAAAGTAAATATGTGTGTTTGCGTGTGAACAACTGTGAGCTTAAATGTTCGCATAGACGCACAGACAGAATGATGATGAGATTGGAGTGTTTTTTTTTTTAAGGGGTAGATGTAAACTGGAAGAGAATTATGTGAAACTATGTACCTCCGCATCCTCAAATTCGGAGTCCCAGCGCATCATTTTCTCCCGGATCTGATACAACTCATTATTTACTGGAATAAGCGGTGAACACTTCAATTTCCTTGGTAGCACTGCATCTCCAGTTTCATCTCATTTTTACCTACCTATATACCTACTTACTTACCTGCCAACCGAGGCACAGACTCATTACTACCTTACATATCTACCTGGGACTAGTTACCCGTCTGCTACCAAACCCGTGCCTCACCACCCGACAAGATTAACTGCACACCTCTGCGAAAAACCCAGAAGGAATGAGGTGAAATTGAATCCTACGCTATCCTATCCGCATACAATAATAATATCGCGTTCCTCTTCCTGCTCGACATAAAAAAAAATTCCTTCCTTCCTTCTTACTTCCCTTCTTGCCTCTCTTCTACTCACTTCAAATCTGCGTTTTTTTTTTTTTGTTCTTTTCCTTTTCTAGTTGCTTTTCTTTTATTGAAACCATTCTTTAACTTCTTTCTGTTTTCTTTCTATACCATTCTGGACTTTAGGCTCTCTACTTTTCCTCTAATTTGTCTGTAATTTTCGGAATTTGTTTGTCGACCGGAAGTCCTTCAAGGCTAATTTTTAGCATCCGAAGACATTATAGGCTAATTGACAATTTTGGGCCATACAATGTTTTGATTAAATAATATTTATTCTATTATTCAACAGAAAATTCTGAAACACTACATGAAAAATTCAGAACCATTTAAGGCATCAAACATTTATGAATTATTCTTTTATGCGCCATATCCCTTTAGGACGTGGGCGTTCATGTTTCTCTATAACTTCATATTCTTTTTAGCTCCCACTCATGTTATGTCAACTAGATCATTTGGTATGTTACATGCCGTTCCCTTCTTGAATTCAATGTCATGTGAGTATCAAATTTTCCAAGCTTACTGCCCTCTTTATCTGTCACAAAATTATTTCTTTACCTCCCATTTATACTTAAAACGTCTTCATTGGCCATATGATCTGTCCATGGTATTCTAAGCTTCTTTCTATAGAACTATATTTCTATTCCCTCAAGTCTCTTCTTCATCTGTGAGGAAATTGGCTATCATTCACATATAGGAGGACTGAT